GGCTGGGTGATATCTTGAAAGGCCAATGATGAGTACCCTTTTTGTACAACGAACTTTATAATAAAACATCTTTAAAATACTATTAATCATAACAATTTCCACTTACCTGTGCTCTGTCGCCTGTGAATACGTGTCTCATAATAGCTAATATCCAATAGATACAACGATTTTTGGAGTCTCATAACTTAACACCTTGTCATAGCTGACGATAAACTGCAATATAAGCAGACATTCGAAATACTTTTCAAATTTAGCAATGCTCTTTTTTTCACCTATGAGAGGCAGTAGTAATAGGTATTTGCAACTAAAATTGGTATCCACAATTGAATTGATATCATGCTGTGCATAATGATCCTGTGGCTATCTCACCCTTATACCTTTAAGCACCCTCGATCTAAATAATTTATACAAAAGTGTAATGCCTTTTCATTCGCTAGTGAGTTATAATTAATTTATTAGCTGTGCCACAATAGTTTTCGAACCTTGCTATTTCGTCTTTTACAAACTTTAATATTTTCTTTTAAATGCAGAAAATTCGAAATGAAAAGGGGCTTCTCGTGGGCAAAATTTGAAGTCAATTAAGGGAAAATCCTAATAAAAATATTTTGACTTTGTACTCAATTAATTACTTGGACTATTTAATGCTGTATTAAAAACATTGTGGCTATCCTAGTGTATTAGCTTAGTGAAATTAGGTAAATATTTGAATTGACCGTAAATTCCTTTATATCATATATTACCACATTTAATTTTATTTCTTTTTTGCTACAGAAATTAAATCTCTATTTATGCCCTTTCAGGATAAATACGTGCTTATGTCTCTAGCTATCTTATGCATTGTGAGCATATGGCACGCTGCAGTCACTCTGATTCCCAGCCCTACTGACGATTTACCCTCAGCCGATGCCAATAACACTGGATCCCAGATTATCAGTCTCGGTCTGAAGCCGATTGACTCTGGTCAGGAAGACAAGTCATCAGAGCGTCTAAAGCTTTCTGTTGATGGCATGCAGATATCCTCAAAACTGCCGTCAAAGACTTTAAAGACAGAAGCATTGGCAGGTACAAAAGTTCTCCCTAAACTGCCTGCATCTGAAGTGACCTCAGTTGTCACACCTGACATGGCAACGGCCGATAGGCTGACCAAAGGTCTTGCTGGTCGACTGCCAGTTCTGGTTGGAACCACCACTTTAAGCACTAACCGAACGTCAGCTGACAAGACCCCCAAGGTTCCATCTTGGCAAGAGTTCTTTGAACAAGAGACTGGAGGGTTGTTTAATAAGCAGGTAGACAGAGGGGACTCTTTTTTATAAGTTTATGCATAAATAGAGATGGCTATAAATAAAATTAGCTCAGAGCACCTAAGGAATTATCTAACCAAAGATAATCTAGTCTCCTTTCATGAACCAAGATTCGAGGGGGGAAAGATCCTACTATCTTTCCTGTAAATTTTCGTCATGGGGTACCGAATATATCTAGATTTCATTAAAATTTGATGACATGGAAACGGGAGTCAATAGGTAGCTCATGGGAATTAAGTGGCAAGGTATATTTGGTTAAGAAAAATATTGACAACTTATAATAGAGAGCTGTAGTCAAAATGGCATTTGTTCCTGAATAAGGAAACAAATTAAGAAGAATGATAGCAGAAAACTAATAAATAAAATGAATAAGGTTAGAAATTAGTTTTGAGATATGAAGAAGAAATACGAATAAATAGAAGATCAGGAATTATTTAAATAAAAAAAGTAATACAAAGGTGAGCTCAGATGATTGCATTGCAAAATATTGATTAGAAGAAGCAGGGATATGGATCATAAAGAATAAATTGAAAATATTATGGAATAGTAGAAGAATATACGAGATGAGATGAGATGAGATGAGATGAATTATATGAGATGAGATGTATCCGATAGCATCCGATGAGAGGATGTGTGGTGTGATGAGAGTTAATGATATGAGTTGTAATTTGCTCAAATATTTTCTCTTGAGATTTGATTAGATGATATTTTATATGAGGCTTTTAAATTAGATTATATTTTAATAACAATGAATTTATTGGCTGAGTTGATAT